GAAAGAAAGAAAGAAAGAAAGAGGAGGGAGGGAGGGAGGGAGGAAGGAAAGAAAGAAAGAAAGAAAGAAAGAGGAGGAAAGAAAGGAAAGAAAAAAAGAAAGAGGAGGGAGGGAAGAAAGAAAGAAAGAAAGAAAGAAAGAAAGAAGGAAAGAAAGAAAGAAAGAAAGAAAGAAAGAAAGAAAGAAAGAAAATGAATCTACTTATGCCAGGAGAGATTCATGCATAATTGGCATGTTGGCTCCAATAGAAATCCTTCACGTTTAAAAGCAGTGTACCTCCAAATTATTTAAATTATTATCATCATTGCAACTTCCCCCCCCCCTCCTTCTCCTCCTCCGAGCTGTGCTGAAAGTTCTTGGCAATCGACCTTGATGGTGACTATTTCTCTGTCCTTTCGCTCCCAGGAGAATCGGCCCCCCAGACAAAATGTGACCCCTCCCGACACCTTTGAGGATGCAGGTGAGCTGGCTGGCAGTGGCACCTACGTTAGGTTTGATGTCCCTCAACCTGAAATCAAAAGGAGTTGGCCCAGCTTCAGAGGTAACTATATCAGAGCCTCAAGGAGAAAGGCCGAAGGTTGGTGGTTCTTGAGAGCTCGTTTTGTGTGCATTTGGTTCTTTTCATACAATTGCCTTTTTAGAGGGAGGAAAGGAGGAAAAGGGGGGGAGAGGGAGAGGGAGAGGGAGGGAGGAAGGAAAGAAGGGAAAAGAGAAGAAAAAAGAAAAAGAAAGAGAAAGTGAGAAGGAAAAAGAAAAGAAAGAAATAAAGAACAAAGAAAGAAAGAGAAAGAAAGAGAGAGAGAGAGAGAGAGAAAGAAAGAACTCTCAAGCTTCCTCCTTCCGTTATATATTCAAGATGGACAGTATTTAATATTTATTTGCTACGTATAGGTAGGGATGTGGGTCTGTACACATGTTGTTCATAGTATGTTTAGGTGTGTGTCATGTATGTGTTTCGCTTTGAGAGCGGGCAACTAAATTTCATTTTTGATGTGTGCCGTTGTGCCCACAGTAAAAAAATGACAATAAAGGTTATCTTATCTTGAAAGAAAGAAAGAATGAATGAATGAATGAATGAAGGAAGGAAGGAAGGAAGGAAGAAAGAAAGAAAGAAGGAAAGAAGGAAAGAAAGAGGGAGGGAGGGAGGGAAAGAAGAAAGAAAGAAAGAAAGAAAGAAAGAGAAAGAAAGAAAGAAAGAAAGAAAGAAAGAAAGAAAGGGGAAGGAAGGAAGGAAGGAAGGAAGGAAGGAAGGAAGGAAGGAAGGAAGGAAGGAAGGAAGGAAGACTTCCAGTCTTCCTTTTGGCAATTAGACACACCACTTGTCTCTCTTCTTTCCACCACCTATTCTAGGCCACCTGCCTGGTTTCAGATGAAGCCAACAAGCCAGGAGGAAAAAGCATGTCTGTCTTAACTGCTTTGTTTCTCTGGATTCCGACAGACATGATGCTCCACCGCTACGTCGTCTCCCGCGTGATCTGGACCTACATGGCGTCCATCGCCGTGACTTACTTCATCACCCTGTGCCTCTTTCCTGGGCTGGAATCGGAGATCCGGAACTGCACGCTGGGCGAATGGCTCCCCATCCTCATCATGGCCGTCTTCAACCTGTCCGATTTCGTGGGCAAGGTAACCCTCTTGGCCGGGATCCTGCCCAACGGCCCGAGGACCGGGCACCTCTGTGCAGGAGGAGAACCCCCAAGTCTGCAGGGAATCACAGGGCGACAGGTGCCATCCATCTGCTGGAATTGGGGACAGCCAAGATCTGGGATATGTACCCTTTGCCCTCGGTTCTCTGATGGGGGCCGCAGGCTGAGCAAAGATGAAGCAAGCCATGGGTCAGATCAAAGGAGGGGGACGACAAGGATCTCTTTGATGTGTCCTCCTCTCCCTTTCTGTCTCTGACCCTCCTTTCCCCCCCCCCCCCCCAGTTTCATTCCAAGCAGAAACCTGAGCTGTTCTGTTAGGGAAAAGACTTTGAAACAGGAAAAAGTTGCTTGAAAAATAGTTCGATAGCCACCGTTGGCAAGTTCAGGAGAAGTGCCCACTAATAAATCCCAGATGGATTCTTACCCCTGCCCGTGTTTAACAGGGGCACAGAATCCCAAGTCCTCCATTTCAACAAGCCTCCCCAGCCTGTGGCAGTCTATCTGTGAACCCCAGACCGTTGGCTTGGCCTCCGTGTGGGGAGAAAGGCTCAAACAGATCCAGGAAATCTCTCTTAACTTTTCTTTCGTGGATTCCGCCCTTTCTTAAGCGTTCAGTTCTCCCTCTGCATTTGCAGATTCTGGCTGCGCTGCCTTACGACTGGAGGGGAGTCCACCTCCTCCTCTGCTCCTGCCTGCGAGTGGTCTTCATCCCTCTGTTTATCCTGTGCGTCTACCCCAACGGGAGCCCCACGTTTAGCCACCCGGCCTGGCCCTGCGTCTTCTCCCTCCTGATGGGCATCACCAATGGCTACTTCGGCAGCGTCCCCATGATCCTGGCAGCCGGGAAAGTGAACCCGGAGCAGCGGGAATTGGCAGGTTAGCGCAACAGTTGCACACCCCTCTCCCTCCCCCCCCAAAAAAGAATTGTGAGACACCATTGTCAAAAAAAAAAAAAAAAAGGCCAGGAGGAGTGTTGAGATCGGAGGGGACAATGTAGGCACCAGCTCCGCTTAATGGTTATTTCAAAGCAGGGAGTCTCAACCCTGGCAATTTTGTCTGGACCTCCCCAGCCAGCATGGGGGAATTCTGGGCATTGAGGTCCACCCA